AATCACTAAACAACTGCAAAGCCAGATAACAAGACTGCTCACATTCCTGTGTGTTGTCTGGTAGAATTTTGGGTTAACTGCCTTGTGGCTATTTCCATAATTATCTAAAAAGAGAGACTAGCCAGGTGCCATCTACTTGAACTTGCCATCTATTGCCTACAGCAAGTCCCAGAACAGGCACCTTCCTGGAAGACCGGAGCCTATCCCAGAGCTGACCCCCAGAGCTGACCGTGATTCACCTCCTCCCAACCCTTATCAACATACACTAAATTCTTTCAGAACTACTCAGATCCCCACCAAGAGGTATAAGAAGGCTCAACTCTAGGATGGCTGACAAGTTGCCTTTTCCATCTGGCATATTACTGGTTGTTTAAACTTCATACCCCAGGACTTGGTGTCTTTTTCTTTTTTCTTAAGTATATTTTATTGATTTTTTACAGAGAGGAAGAGAGAGGGGTAGAGAGTTAGAAACATCGATGAGAGAGAATCATCGATCAGCTGCCTCTTGCACACCCCCTACTGGGGATGTGCCCACAACCAACGTATATGCCCTTGACTGGAATCGAACCCGGGACCTTTCAGTTCCCAGACTGACGCTCTATCCACTCAGCCAAACTGGTTTCAGTGGTGTCTTTTTCTTGCTGGCAATGCCCTACTAATCCTTTACAAAAACTTTCAGCCCTATGTGCAGATACAATGGTATACTGCCTGTGTAACCAACCAGTTTGTTTTGGGATTTTGAGTTAGTTTTGTAATCTGTTTAGATAAGTTTATAGTAAGAAAAAGTCATTAAATGCACTTTTATAAATTAATATCTTTTAAGCTCACTGAAAACTGAGGCTAATTTGGAAGTTTTGAAGTCAATACCTAGTGAAAAATTAATGATTGAGACTGGTAAGTTTGTTTTTTAGAACTTTTTCATATTAACCCATTCCAAAAAAAGAATGAAAGAAAATTAACAAATGTTTTGTTTTAAAACAATACACACAGCCTTAACAGTTACCCTTTTATCAATTGATGGAAAAGTGTTTATGCAAGTGATTTTTTCAATTTTAGAAATTTTAGAATTTAAAAGGGGATGATGGTAACTAGGGTGATAGTTATATTTTATTAAACAAGGAATCTTTAGCTCAGGGCTTAAAAAACTATTCATAACTTTTTATACAATGTCTTCTTTGCAATGGCTTAATTCTACAATACTTTTTAAGTGCAGAAATTAAGCTATTACAATTTTTTATTTAAGGAAATAGGTTATTGAATAACCCCAGTATTCAAAGCTACTGTTTTATATTCAGTTGAGGCAATACAGAAATTTGTTTAACCTAAATGTTTTCATGTTACAGTTGTATTTCTCTTAGCTTTAGATCTTTTTAAAAAGCATATCATACATCAACAATAAGGGGGGGGGTGGGTAGGGGATAAAAGTGAGTCTTATAAAAACATTTAAGAATTTGTACAGTTTAAGATTTTTGTCTTGTGTGTTTCTTAGAACTTTTCTGTTGCTTTTTGCCATGTTTGAAGCTTATCTTTTAGAGGATATATATTAGTTTGGTAATGTTCATTTCAAAAAAATAATTCAAAATGTTGAACTTTTGAAGAGACTTCTATTCGCTAATTCTAGATGCACCTTGGTGTGGAGTCAAAAGTACACATGCTGGTTCAAAATATGTAAAAACGTCATTTCCTACCAAAAAGAAATGGGAAAATGGGCACTGTTTGAAAGACAGAAATGAACCTTGCCATATAATGTAAGTATTTTGTTTTCATGGCCTTCAAAACTATAATATTTCCTTCCATATGCACCTTCTCCCCCCCCCCCCCCCCCCCCCCCGGTAGTTTTTAACAGGTAAGAGTATTAAATAAGCCAGAGCTAAATTCTATCAAAACATATTGGAAAGATTTTTTTCTTTATTAAATGAGCTAGTGTTGGCAAAGACTTCAGAAATTAACTGTTTAAAAACCCGTGGGTGAGGAATATATATAAATTGTTTAGTAAGGAATCACTTGTAATTTTCCTGAATTGTACATTCTTGCAGATTCAGTCAGAATACAACACACCTTACCTGGTTTAAGTTCTGTTCTCATGAAGCTTCCTGTTGATGGTTATAAAAATGCAATCTATACTCCATTTCCTATACTACCTTACTGCTAAGTATACCTGTTGACTTTATAAGACAAAATCTTAACCTGTTTCTAAATACAGTTAAGAACTGAAAGTGCTTAATTAACAACTACAGTCATGAATACCAGTTCTGAATATGCAGGGCTTGGGAAATCAACATTTGCAAACTGAAAAAATTAAGCCACACTTCAAAAACACATGCCACAGTGTAATTACTAATTAGTAAGTTAAAATTTCTACTTAGAGTCATTTTAATCAAATTTCATCTATTAACAGTTATTTGTTTTATTTGTATAGCGACCTCCCTTCTAAATAAATTCCTTGAAACATTTTGGAGGTCTTGCCCTATGCCATCTTACTGAGGCTATGCAGAAGAATGCACAGTCCCTTCCCTCATCTATCCACCAGTGCGTAGATGGATTGTGCCAGGCACTTTGGATAAGGCACTAATCAAGTCAGATGAGGATTCCTTCCCTCTGGAACAAACAAGCACATAAAAAGTTTAATTCTAGATGGTAGTGGTGGTATAGAGGTATGAATATGTGACTGGGACCATAGGACATAGCAACTGCCTGCCTTGAGGGGAAATAAGAGAACTAAGGTGACATTTCCACTGTTTACTAACTGGGAAATATGCCAGACCAAGAGAAACACACTGAGCAAAGGCAGAATGTAAGAGGACTTAGCTGCTCCAGGGGAACAGTGAGTTAGTGTGGCAGAAGGTAGGATGCACGAGTAAATGATCAGTCTGGGAAGGTAGAGTGAGGCCAGATTGTGAGGACTCTTCTATGCCAATTTTAGTTTAGATTTTATCGGGACCGAAAGTATCTTAAATGGAAAAATAGCAGCTTTTTTCTTAAGCTGTAAAGTATCAGGGTGGAGAAAGGACTGGAAGGGGGAAGGATATCAGGAATCTGTTTTGCACGGTATTATGCAAGTTCCTATTCCAACTAGTTTAATAGAGAAAAATTCTGCAGTTAAATATTAACAGATTTACTTTCAGTATATTTTTGACTGTCAGGTAACAAAATTTTAGTATAGTCATTTAGTATACAAATTAAGCATTTTATGCTACTTTTACAGAATAAAAAAGTTCCAATTAATCTTTAATCTCCGTCCCTAATACCATTAGGTGTTTTATATTTAAGAAACTGATTAAAGAGGAACAAAAAGCTTAAGACAAAGACTATTTAAATGTTTAATTTTTACTTTAAAACTTTATAATTCACGTATAAAAATATTCTATCAATATATAAGAATGCTAGAAAACATTACTGATAATTGTAGAGAAACTGAAAGAATAACAGCTGGGCTATTCTTTCTATGGCTACCCAAACACATTATTCTGAGTAAATAACTTATAACTTCCTTTGCTTTCATTGTGCTAGTGATCATGCCACAATTGTTTTTGCTATCCTTTAGTACTAGTTTTCTAAGCAGTGGTTTTCAAACTTTGATGGCTGTCCCAATGGCTTACATTGATGCATTACACATGTACATACATAAATGAAATAGTAATTGTCTACATGTATTGTACTTTCGTAAATTTCAATTTTTTTAAAAGCTTGCTGTGACCCAGTTTAAAAGGACTCATTTCTACCAGGTTAATTCCCTAATCGAGGTACACATAATATAGGCCACCTTTATAATTTATTTGAAACTAGATTTTTGGCTCTAGTTATATACAAAACTACCACAGAAATCTCTAATTACTCTATTTTAAATATCCTAGCAGTTAAACTTTCTGATAGTGCTGAAAACTTTAATACCCGCTTAAGCTTATTAAAAGTGCTAGTATCATCCTTTATGTGGAAAAAGATAAATTTAAAACATATAAATATGTATTTGGAAATTTAAACCATCTATTTTTGTTCTGTTTTAGTCAAATACTGGAGATAATGGCAGCAGTAAGAGATGAGGATCCACTGGAATTAGCCAATGAGCTATATAACAATACCATTAAAGTATTTTTTCCTGATATGTAATTGGTATGTTTTCCATCATGTATGTGAAATTTCATGGTAAAACTTAGTTTCAATAAAGGAATTCTCTGGAACTTGTCTAAAGAGATATTATGCATCACTGCACAACCATCTCCCTTATTTTTATCCATAAAGCCAGGGATTTTTTTTAATGTCACTTAAAAGAATGGAGATAACCAAGTATTTAATTTTGTAACCTCTTCAAAAGTCCAAAAGGACAATTTTATGTCAATGCTGCAAACAGAATGGCTAACAAATATACTAATTTTTACATCAAAATTAAACATATTCTGGTTCATACCAGATATATACATACCTGATATATTTCTCAACTCACAATATCCAAATCTTGACTTTTAAACTCAGCTCAACTACAGTGCTACTCTCAAATTTCAAAAAAGTCTCAATCACTTCTGGCAGCCTACTTTTTCCTTAGTTCATAAAATATTTCTTATCCTCTGGTCCAAATTATTTTATTTCCTTGATTTAATGTGGTTTCCTCTGATTTTGCACTTTCATTCTCCCGCCTATCTTAATTAGGGGCCAGAATTAGATGCATTATACACTTTCATTTAGGAATCTTTGGCACAGTTGGCGCACCGTATTATTGTTACATCTATTAAAAAGCTATTTGTTCAAATTTTGTCATAAAAACGTGAAAACATTTTATTCTATGTACAATAATGTACACAAATTTAAATAGGTCACCAAAGAGACCAGAAGTAATTAAAGAGGTATATTTACAGTAGCACATCACAGTAAACGGAAAACCATCCACAGATTCAACATTGACTGTTTTTGTGCTTGGTTACACAATGAGGTGAAGCATATTAACTCCATTTTGGATGAACTGAATTTTGAACAAATAACCTCAATGATTAGTAAATGCTGTTTAATCAGTCAGTGTCCTCATTAAATTCTTCAGCTGCTGTACCTGTATTCTGAATCACTCCATTTCTTTCTGTTTGAACATCATCATCAAAATCTGTACTGTCATCTTCATTCAAGTCCCTGTCAGATTCGGCAGCAGCAGCCTCTCTTACAGCTTCCTCTGCATTTTCATTAGGTGCAATAAATCCGCTGTTGTTAAGTATATTTGAATTATCCTTGATATCATCTTCAATGTATACTTTTTGATGGCACATTGGACAAGTATCTTGAATGTACAGCCATTTCCGAAGGCAAAGTGCATGGAAATAATGATTACATGGTGTGAGACGAGCAGATGTAGTAAACTCATGATAGCAGATTGCACAGACATCATCTATTTCTTGTAAGCGGCTCCCTTTTATTTCAGGAAGTGAATTAATTTTCTTAACAGCAGTCCTACGATTCATGAATGTCTTCCAGCCATTTTTTGCTTGTAAGTAGATGTTAAAATACGCATGTAGACACATCATACAAGCCCGAATTTTACTTCCTGACTCAAACATCATAGTATAGGCCCCATTTCCAAACATTACTACTCCAAATATAAATTCAATAATATTGCCTGTTGAACGAACATAGTAGACATAATCATCAAGCTTTTCCCAGAGGACATTATAGTAGCCATCAATCATGAATAACGTATAAACAGTGAGAGAAACAATTACTTTTAAGCAGAGTTCCACACAGAAGGCTGTAACGGCAAACAGCCATGTGTTTAGTGCATAGTGATGCCAAAGAACATAACTGAGTAAAACAGGAAGAATAAACAGGCAAGCAGAGACAAAGAGCACAGGAAAATGTCTACGAAAAGATGACACGTGAGAGGCACTGAGAGACATTAATACGGGGTCTGTCATTCCATGGATGAAATGCAGGACTGCAGTTAATAAAAGGCACATGTTTCTACTTAAGCGAATAAGTCTCTCTTCTGGTCTTAGCCCACTTAAACCAGTCTGAAGAGCCAAAATAAAAAATAAAACAGGTGCTACAAAGCCAAGTCTCCTGTCATCTTCTTCAGTTGATCCAATAAAGGCCAATATTCCAAGGCCCAAATAATGGGCTATTGAAGAAATTACAGCACTCATGCCCAGCACAGTTAGTGTAGAATCACATCCACTAATTATAAGATTGCAAATGAGGTCCCAGAAGTCATCCCAAGAAATAAAGAAGGAATCAGTTTCGTTTGCCATCCTTAAAATGTACATTAACACTGTAGCCTGAGCTGTAATTCTTGTTAGCCAAAAGACTCTCAGTATATCTGGGAAACGAATCCTCTTCCATGTATCCTCCATTAATAACTGTAATCCATAAATTCGATACATGTGCCTCACTAAGAGATAAACATACCGTGTGGAATAATAAAACCACCTAAGTTTCACTGCCAAGACAAACAGTGTGTTTAATATAAGAATCAAGGAAGAAGTAAAAACTAAAGTCTCCCGGATGTGTAACGGTAGCTCTGTGATTAAGCCTATTACAGGGACCAACAGATCCAAAATAATTAGTTGTGAATAGATGGAATGAATTTGGAGCAGTGTAATGTATCCAATTCCAAACGTCAGCTGTAGAACAATGAGTGCCATCCACTGTGAGGGCCCTTTCCGAGGGAGGAGTTCAATTCCAAAAGCTGATGTGTTGTAGGCACCATAGAAGTCAATGTGCAAAGCAGCATAATAATTTACCAATACTGAAGTTGCAGCTAAAAGAAAGGCTGCGCTGTACATGTAAAACTTGAAAAGTGATCGCTGTGACAATATCAGAACAATACTGGAAACAAATATACCTGAAAAGAAGAAAAAAAAAGTCATTTGAAACGTTTTTAAAGAATATTTTCCCACTAAAAGTTATAGTCTTCCTTTGGGAAATTCGAGCATTTTAAAAATTATGAACATTAAGCCTCAAGGCAATTTAGGTTTAAAGGCCAAAGGAGTTTTGTAAAGTCAGTTCAATAGGACAGACAAAACATTTTTAAAAATCTTATTAGAATTATAATTTCCAAAGTAATTTAAGTAGTACCATATACCCAGGCACTAAATTACCTTCAAGATGAGTTTGTAATGACACATTTTAATAAGTTTTAAAATCTTTAAATAACATATCCTTTTAAGTTTTATAATCATTAAAAATAATTCCATGACAAAAACATTAGAATTAAAAATAACCAAAGTGGAAAACATTTGTTCCTATTAAATAATCTTAGAATTCTCTTTCTTTAGGAAATTGAGTTTAAGTTTTATACTTACATCTAATTCCTCCTTTTCCTCAAGCTGAACTCAGCTGGCTCTTATTTTTTCCTGCTCCTTAAATTGAGCATTCTCCCCTGCATCCAAATTCAATTGCTTTTTTCCCCCCCAATTACTTGCAAATTTCAGAAATGTCTTTCAAGTTCCCTTTTTCTTATACATTACTGAATCTTTTTCTTCAACTAGTCAACCTCCCTCTCCCCCTTTTTTTTATTGATTCTTTACAGAGAGGAAAGGAGAGAGACAGAGAGCTAGAAACATCAATGAGAGAAACATTGACCAGCTGCCTCTTGCACACCCCCCACCAGAGATGTGCCTGCAACCAATGTACATGCCCTTGACCGGAATCGAATCTGGTATCTTTCAGTCCGCAGGCCAACGCTCTATTCACTGAGCCAAACCGGTTTCAGCAGTCAACCCTTTTCATTGTTCTTCAAATTACTAAAGTAGCATTATGAAAATCAAAACATTTAGAAAACAGTAATTAATCCTCCCCACTCCATACTCAACCAATGTATGGTCTGAAGTGTATTTAGAAGCATCTTTCTTTATATATACTCTGACAAATTTTTAAGTTAGATTACAATAAACATTATTTTCCAAGGTTTCAACTCTGGAAGCGATATCCAAGTAGCTACCAAATACCCTAGCCGGTTTGGCTCAGTAAATAGAGCATTGGCCCATGGACTAAAGAAGGGTCATAGCTGGTTCAAAACAGGTCAAAGGCACGTACTTCATTGCAAGGCTTGATCCCTGGCCCTGCTTGGGGCATATGTGGGAGGCAACCAATCCATGTCTGTCTCTTTCCCTCTCTCTCCCTCCCTTCCACTTTCTCTAAAAAATTAAACCAACAGAAAAATATCCTTGGATGAGGATTAACAAAAAGAAAAATAAATAGCCATCTACTAGCACTTCTACATTATAACTGTAACATTAAAAAATTTTAAAACTTAACTTACCTCAAATGGCTCTTGTGATTTCCAATTTCAGTGAAAAATACCATTATTCTTCTAGCCCTGTACCCTCGAACTTTACATTTAGTCTCCCAATTCTACTAACAACTATTACTACCTATTATCTCTACTTATTAGTTTGTCTCTAACTAAAAACTCATTTTGCCCAAATCCACCTACAAGCATCATCAACATGCCTTTCTTCATTTCTTCAAAATACTGGGGCAGCTCTGAAATAGTAATAACTAAAATCTGTATTTCTCATCCTAGAAACCAAGGACCCAGCTGGCCTTAAAATAATGCTCCTCTCAAAGCACATGCCAAAGCTCCAGACTTCTTTCCAAAAACACCCTTTCAGTGCCATAATTGCAACTGCGTTTACATTTTTCTCTGCTTGTCATGATGGTCCCACCCTGATGCTCAAATCCTATCCATCTTCTAGACCCACTTTCTCTTACAGAGAGTGTTCCTCTCCAGCATACCTACAGAATCTGGTGAGACACCTAATACTCATGTATTACCCGATATTGTAGTTTGTAGGTATCATCTACCGTTAGATAATGTCTTTGATAGTAAGTAAGAATACTACCTTGTACATCTATGGATCCCAAAATATTTTGTAGAAAATAAATACAATTACTATTCATTGAGGAACTAAATGTTCCTGTTGAATACTGGATTAAGTTTTTAAAGGAAACTACAAAACAAAGCCCACTTAGAAATTGAAATATACGAACAGGTCAGACAAAACTAAGAAACAAGAGCTTGGGAGTATAGGAAAAGTGACACACCATCCACCTTATTTCAGCATGTAATGAAGAAAGACTGCATATTACAAAGAAGTGGAGGCATTTCATAATCCATTGCATGTAAAAGTAAGGGCTAGTTCCTCTAAATTAGCGGTCGCCATCCAGACCACTGGTGGTCTGTGAAGTCCAAAAGGTTGGCGACTGCTGCTCTAAATGACTTTGCCCAGGAATTTAAAATTTATCCTATGCCAATGTGTCAGGTCATTTGTGAAAAAGAGAATAAAGGACACAATCACCTAGAAGACACAAAAATTTCTGCATAAAAGCCACCTGAGTAATTTCCAGAGCAAGTGGGCCACTAGTATTCTCCCAGAGCGCTAATATCTGGGGATAGGCCCTTTCAATATAAAATGAACTGCCTGGTCGGTGTGTATGGAAAGACTGCAGGTTTGATTCCAGGTCAGGGCACATGTCTGGGTTGCAGGCTTGATCCCCAGTGGGGGGCATGCAGGAGGCAACAGATTGATGTTTGGTTCTCACATTGGTTTCTCTCTCCCCCCCTCGGCTTCTCTCAAAAAATATCATTTTTTTAAGGACTTTCTAAAAAGCTGGATTAGGAATATTTTCCATGGAAGGTGAAAAGAGATGGAATTAACTCAGCCACTATGTATATGTAATATTACATTCTCTACATAGAAAAAGTCATTAATTTTCCTGAGACAAAAACTAAGATGAATCAACTTCAATTATAGTTTATACTAATTAAAAGAAAGAAAGGCAAGCAGGGACTATAAATTACTTTGGTCAACTTGCTATTCACAAAGTTGTAAATTAATCTTTGCTTGTGAATATTCATGAACTTTGTTGTAATTTATAATCAGTCCCTTTTACTCGAATAGCTTTTCCTCGAAACTTATTTTTACACACAAATGAATGATTTGGGTTTTAGAAATATGTCTGGAGAATAAGTGCCATTTTGCTTTATGCAAATACTAGAGTTCCGGTGCATGGTGGGCTCTTTCAGCCAGACCTGCACCCTCTCACAATCATGGGGGGATGTCGGACTGCCGAATTTGGCCCCATTCCTGCGGCCAGGCCTCTAGTATGCATGTAAGATCTTTGGTTAATCTCTTCCTGCCTTCCCCCTTCCCCTCTGAAATTCATCAATCTGTTCCATGTTTCTATGCCTGTGCGTTGAACGTCTGTCCCCCTGGTGGTCAGTGCATGCCATAGGTACCAGTCGAACGGTCACTTAGACTTTTATATATACTAGAGGCCTGGTACACAAAATTCTTGCATGGGTTGGGGGGGGGGGCCCTAAGCCTGGTCTGCACTCTTTCACAATCTGGGAACTTTTGAGGGATGTTCAACTGCCAGGTTAAGCCAGATTGGGCCTAAACTGGCAGTCGAACATCCCCCTTTTGCAATCTGGGACTGCTGGCTACTAAATGCTCGCCTGCCTGCCTAATTGCCTCTAACCACTAGCCTGCCTGCATGATCGCCTCTAACTGCTGGCTAGGGGGTTGGACTGGCCAGGCCAGGCGACATGGTGATTCTGGTCTCTGATCGTTTTGCCGATTTGGTCACTGGGCTTTTATTATATAGGACAGATACCAAGGGGAAAGGGGGGAGGATAGACATATAATGTAGTGAGACTACAAATCACCAAGTTCAGATGTGTCCTAGCAAGTAACAATCTAATATTACTCTTCCTTTAAAAAAAAAAAAAAATCCTCACCCAAGGATATTTTTCCATTGATTTTAAGGAGAGTGGAAGAAAGAGGGAAAGACAGAGAAAAATACATCGACTGGTTGCCTCCTGCACTCACACCAACCACAGCCTGAGCCAGGGAGGAGCCTGCAACCAAGGTATGTGCCCTTGACTGGAACTGAACCCAGGATCTTTTAGTCTGTGGGCCAATGCTCTATCCACTGAGCCAACCTGGCTAGGGCTGATACTTCCTTTTCTTAACTAAAATCATACCCTCAAGATGTAATAACAACCAAATACTTCAATAGCATAAAATTGTTTAATTCTTACCCAAAGTTTTCATGTAATGGGGTTCTTAAATTTTTCTTTTATATTCAAGGTCCTATGTATGATATAACATGGGAGTAATCAACACTCATTTTACAGAAGGAAAAAAAAAGTCAAATTCCCAAATAACATTCCATTTTCCAGTCCTGGCCTTTTGTGCCTGTTACCAATAATATTGAAGTTTTTTTGTATTTTCACAACTTCAGATATAAAACTCTTATTACCCTGTACACTTAAGAAAATCAGGCCCGGGGATAGTGTTTCTTATTAGCATGTAAGGGTCACCTACATAAGTAATCAAGCTATATATAAATGATACTTTATAAAGAAAAACCATCTTGGGACACTGGATAATAGAATTAACTGAAATCACAACTCAGGGATGCAATTTCCAGTGATTAGAGTTTCAACAAAGTTCTGGAGGTAGGAAAAAAAGCAGATATTTAAATCAATTCAGGGTCTTTGAGGCTATGTGTGAAATCAATTCATGACGAGTTCAGGGCCTTTACAATTTGGATTACCCAAAATAAGCAAGCAGAAACAAACCATCGCACATTATACAACAATGTGTTTAGCTCTTTTATGTGGAAAGTCCATTCATACCATAACCTTTTCTGGAAACTTAGGACTAAAAATTAGAAAGAAACAGGACATAATATTTACTACTCTCCAGCTACCTTAAAACTTGAAAACATAACCTAAAGCAAGCTGTGGAAAAACATTTCAATGCCGGATAGAATAAAGATGGAGCCCAGAAATAAATGTTTTGACCACCTTATTCCCAAGGGAGCCCTAACAAA